AAGCATGTGCTTTGTGCTGAACAAGCTGGCCAGAACACAGTTTCTAAGATCAGGGAAATGGCCTACAGACTCCCTGGAGCACTCCTAACACCTTCCACGACAGCACAGCTACCTATGGCTAATCCTTCTACAAAGGTTCCTTTTAGGCAAGAAGTTTAGTCCCATTTCCCTGGCACAGAGTCTACTGCAAGATGTACTTTTCATCAATCAGAATTACAGCAACAAGAAAGTAAAACAGAGGAGACCAATCCCACAAAATAAGGTCTGAAAAATAAAATAAGACTTTTTACCAGGGAGTGCTTGGGTAGGCAGATGCTTGGCAGGTCCCCTTGAGGGTGTCCTTCAGTATAGCTGAGCCTTCCCCCATCACAAGGCACCTCTCTGAGTTCTGCTACCTCCACATCTCCACGGTGTGGCACAGCTGTGGCAATTGGACTTCTGCTGAAGGTGGCTTTCAACACTTCTCAAACGAAGGACCTTGATAGCTTAGTTCTCTAGAGAAGGGAACCAGCAGTGTTCATGGTGAAACCTGTTCTCAGTAATCAGAGACACACACACACCTGCCTCAGGAAGTCACAGGCAGAGAGACAAATCACGAGCTGACAGGGAGGAATGGTGATTCTCCTTAACACGCAGGTGATGTAAGATGCTTGGTACCCCACCATTGGGTTATATCTCTGGCCCATGACGAATGCGATGTTTGTGCATTCACAGGCATCCTCTGCGGCTGAACAACTTGAAAACCGTTAGCTCTTCACAAATGGTCTTGTTTCCCATTCCCTCTTTTCTAGTCACACGGATAGACATGCAATAAGAAGGTGTTTTATGTATCTTCGTTTTATGTGCTAATTCTTATTCCTTGAAAAGCTAACAAATAACACAGGTTCTGCATAGCCAAATTTTACTAAACTTGACCTGTTTGCTGCAGGGAAGTATGCTAATCACTGAAATGACCAGTTTTGCAAAGGAGAGTTTAATCATGAGGCACCAAGCACAAGAAGTCTCAAATCCACCTCACAGAGGACAGAATTGGGGGACATTCATGGGATAAAGAAGCAAGGTAATTTTAGGCATGGGGGAAAATGACTCAAGGTGAATTGGTGGCTGGCACACGTGCAATCAATATTTGTGACTCTTCACAGCACGTATGTTCAGAAAATGGCTACACTACATGATCCTCAGGTAGAGTTTTAGGCTCCTGGTAGCAAAAAGTCATCCACTGGAGACTTGCAGAGGCCCAAGTGCAGAGTCAGAGTTTCAACAGAAGTGGCCTTCAAGTCCCTGAAAAGTAACCTAGGCAACCGTTATCATCATAACCCACACATCAGAGGTATTATCCACAGCAAAGCTAGTGGGAGATGAATGTGACCTCCAAGATTACTGATTTTTTTGTAAGTTAACTAAAAGCAAGTAACTGAAAGCAAGTAAAGCTACAGGGTTCATGCAGCTTTTCCCTGGGTTTCACAAGCATGCAAAGGAATGAATTTTTTGGCATCTGTGGAAACTAAGAATTCCTGATAAGAAATGTGGCCTTTAAAACTTTGACCCGGGGCTGGGGATGTGGCTCAAGCGGTAGCGCGCTCACCTGGCATGCGTGCAGCCCGGGTTCGAGCCTCAGCACCACATACAAAGATGTTGTGTCTGCCGAAAACTAAAAAATAAAAAAAAAAAATATTTAAAACTTTGACCCAAATAAAGTTTTTGAGTTAAATTTTATTAGTGAGTCATCACATGAGTGCCTTTCCTTCTGTGCCTGTGCTTTGCATACTTATCTTGCACAGCTGTCATAAACAACCCTTAGGAGAGGGGCCTTTTGTGAAAGAGAAAACCAGAACTCTAAGGAGTGAAGTGACCTGCTCTAGCTCACACCACTTGCAAACTGGAGCTGTAGCCAGAAGTCGGGCCCTATCACTCTTCACCACAGCTCAGGCTATTTAAAAATAATAAGTTGTTCAGAAAGATAATTTCAAGTTCTCAGGAAAATAGTAAAAATAGCAATATGTATTCATTTTTCAATGTCAGGGTTTATAAGAATCCTCTCACACTTATTTTCTGACTTGAATATTAACATACTTTCTTTTCATCAGTTACTTTATTTATTATTATTATTTTTTTTGGGGGGGTAACCAGGGATTGAACTCAAGGACACTCGACCACTGAGCCACATCCCCAGCCCTATTTTGTATTTTATTTAGAGACAGAGACTTACTGAGTTGCTTAGTGCCTCACTATTGCTGAGGCTGGCATTGAACTTGCGATCCTCCCATCTCAGCCACCCTAGCTGCTGGAATTACAGGCGTCCACCACTACGTTCAGCTAGTTACTTTCTTTTAAGGGGTGATTCTTCTATATGAACAAGTAGTCTTCAACTGTACTGCATAAAACCAAGAAAATCACATATATTGGTATCTAATATTGTTATCATGAAAAAACTTCTGTCCCCTATACCTACTATTTATACAGATGTTTGTGTTTAACTGAAAAGACATGGGGCCTTAGCTGGGTCTAGTCCTGTTGGCCATTTAAGTCTGTGTGACTTTGGATAAGAAGCAAACATCTAATCTTAATACCACATAGAAGACTGTTGGGAGAATTTTTGGAATACTAAAAAGTAAAGCATTTTGTAAACATTAACATGCCTCACAAATCTAAGATATCTTCCAATTATTGCCTGGAGTTAAGAACTAAAGGATTGATTGGTCTTATCTAAATACCAGAATAAAAAAAAAAGGAGCTGGCTATAGGAAAAGTGGAAAAGATCAAGGGAACAAGGAGAACCTGGAAAAAAAAAAAAAGCAATGAGTAATTAGTTTTGCTAATCTGAGAAATGGTGGCCAGGACTATCCAGTGATTTAGAAAATGACTGTAGTCAGTGAATTGTTTTTCTTTTTTAAATCCTGACTCCACTCTTTTTTTTTTTTTTTAATTTTATTATTTTTTAGTTGTAGTTGGACACAATACCTTTATTTTATTCATTTTTATGTGGTGCTGAGGATCAAAGCCAGGGCCTCACACATGCCAGGCAAGCACTCTACTGCTGAGCCATAACCCCAGCCCCAGTCAGTGAATTTTTTAAACATTTTTTTTTTTATTTGTTTTGTGAGTCAGTGAATTTTAATGATCTTGGAGGCTTCCTTTAGAAATACCACAAAGACATACGAGGCAAGCTTATATAACTTGCTGATGACACAAAAATGAGCAGTATATTGGGCTGGGGTTGTGACTCAGTGGTAGAGTGCTTGCCTTGCATGCGTGAGGCACTGGGTTTGATCCTCAGCACCACCTAAAAATAAACAAACAAAATAAAGGCATTCTGTCCATCTACAACTACAAAAAAAAAAAAAAAGCACTGGATTTATTAAAAACAAAAAACGAGCAGTATAGTTAAATGACAAAACTGATTAAAGACGATTTTCCATATTGAAATGTCATGAATTTATGAGAGACATTATCATGTAAGAACAAGAGAACTTGTTCAAAGAGTCCAGAAGTGAGGGGGAATGACTGATTGAGAAACAGTATGGTAAGCAGGTAAGTTGCTTAGGTTCAAACCCAACTCTACTGCCCATTAGCTGTACAACCATGTGCTGGTTACCAGCCTTGTCGTGCCTTGGATTGCTCACCCACCTCATATGGCTGTTGTAGGAATTAAATGAGTTAATCTGGGATCAACTGATTTGAACAGTGCTTTATTCAGGATTAGCCCTGCTTAAGGGATGTAGCCCTGGCTTACCTGGGAATCATCCTACCATGAATGGAAATTACCATGGTAAGTGTCCAAGTGCTCCTTCCTTATCTAATTTCTCCTCTATTGGCCTCAAGAGGCCCTCAACTGTCCCCTTGGTTCTCCTGTGCACTATTGCTCCTCCCCTGTATCAAGCTTCTCCTCTCTTTCCCTGTTCTTTCCATTTCCTGACTTCACCTTTGCCCCTGCATGCCTTATCCACTATCCGGTGTTCCTTGGTCTGCCCAGCTCCTGGCTTTGTGCCCAGTCTGGCGCAGTCTCAGTGGAAGTCTGGCTGTGGGCTGCCCTCTCTAACAGCACGGTGGGGGTGGGTTTATTTATAAAAAACAGATGGTGGTGAGTTTTGATTTTCAGATATGCTGACTTTGACATATTTGGAATCATAAAAGTAGGAATTTCACAACTGATTGAACACATTAGTCTGCAATTGTGACAGGATCAGGCTGGAAAAATCGTTTCCTGGAGGCATCCGCGTGGAGGCTATCTGAGAAGGTAACCGCTTAGAAAAAGAGATTCTGGAGAGGACGAGCTCAGGGTGGAGGACAGGCTGGAGGAGTACCCACCGTTAGCGGGAGGCAGTCGGAGGTGGTCAGCAGGGGCCGAGTTTTAGACCTTAGAGGAGACGGGCATAACAGATGCACAGGAATAGAGGAGTGTTTGAAGGAGATGCAAAGAAGGGAAAGAGATGCCCGAGAAAAGGCCACTAATAGGTGGGTCAGGGGAACGTGGACGGTTCTGTCTCCACCGGGAGTAGACGCAACACGGCAAGGCTCGGATGAAAACAGGTGGCCGAGCTGAACCCGCAGGCGAGAGGGCAGGAAGAAGGCCGGAGGACCAGTCGGCCGCAGGCACCCATTCCCCGGAGGGCCCCGGGTACTGGTTAGGTACTTGGTGCCTCTGGCCCGGGCCTGGGCAGGGCCTCTGCAGCGCACCTGGCCGAGGGCAGCACGCGCTGACAGCGGGACACCACGCACCGTCGCTTCCTGCCACTGAGTCAGGCAGCCTCGACCACTGCGACACCCAAAGCGGGGCTCAGGTTGAGACTCACCTTACCTAGCAAGGAGCAACTTTCCTGACCCCTCAAACCCGACGGTGCTGTCCCCCGCCGCCCCAGTTCAACTGGCCCCCACCCCTCGGCGGCGTACCTCCGGGCCGCGAGGAGGTGCTGTGAGACGCGAGCGTGCCGTGGGGAACGCGGGCGGTGCCCGGCGGAGACTCCGGAAGTGACGCTACTACTGAGTCGGCGGCGGAAATGCAATGCGCAGCCGGTGGCAGTAGTCCCGCCCACCCTTGATAGCGGAAGTCCGGTCCATCTGGCGGAGTCTCCTCGTGCAACCTACCGCCAGCATGGCGCACTACAACTTCAAGAAGATTACGGTGGTGCCGTCCGCCAAGGTAGGCGCCGAGGGAGAGGCTCCCCATATCTTGCCCTTTTCCTTGAATAGGTCGTGCGGAGGGCCCAAGACTGTAGCCCTGGGGCCTGGAGAGGGGCGTGTTGTGCCCTGTCGTCCCCCGGTGTTGGGCCTCGCTTCCAGGCAGGCCTCGTCCTCTGGCCATCAGGAACCCCCAGACAGCGGCCTCACTGCCTGAGTCCGAGCCCTCCGCCCCCAGGCCAGGGGTTCCCCGGAGACCAGGGTCCCTGCGAGAGCAGGTGATCCCGGAGGGACTGCCCAGGGGGTGGGTGGTGGCGAGCGGTGAGGAGACGCCCCAGTCGTGGGCCTCCCGCGCAGGAGGCCGTGGTTCATTGCTGTCATGGTTTACGACTTCTTAGTTTTAGGTCTTTCTTCTTCCGTCGGATTGGGAAACGCAGTTGTTTCAGTCGCAGCAGGGTAAACGTTTCTATAGCGTTATTCGGAGGTAGCAAGAGGCAGCCCCCAAAATGTTGAATATTGAGAATGTTCAGTCAGGTTTTTCCGTGGACCTGCGGTGTGGGTTGTGATGGCGAAAGCGCTTATCAGGAAACACGTGTTTGTCGGGCAATCCGTGGGGCACTGCACAGAGCCAATGCAGAGGATGAGTTGCTCTCGTTGAACGTGGTGCACTGTGAATATAGACAGTGTTCTTCCTTTTATTCAAGCGCCAAAGGTGGAATGAGATTGCCTTGGAAAGCTTCTCCAAAAGCTAGTATTTTACGTTCCTAGCATAATATTAGTAGTCATTAAATTTTTTTTTTTTTTGTAGATGGACAGGATGACTTTATTTTTATGTGTTGCTGAGGGTCGAACCCAGTGCCTCACATGCGCTGAGCAAGGACTATACCACTGAGCCACAACCCCAGCCTGAATTAGTACATTTTTACCTACAATCATTCTGGTACAGCTCTCTCTAGATTGTACTATCTGGAAAAAAAAAATCGTTTGTAGGAGTCATGTTTTGTTTGTATTTTTGGCCCTTATGATATTTTCTCATCCATCTGTCAAGTTTGTTGAAGTAATTTGCAGAGTTTTATCTGAAATACAGCTCTTCGGATAATATGAACTTTGTTCATATAAAGACTCATGGAGAACTTTAAAATATATTAATACAATTTCTATCTTCTATTGTCTTGAGTGATATCTGTATTTCTAGAGAACAGATGAATTTGCTTATGTCTAAAAGATGACAACAATTTTCCTTTGGTGATTGGAAGTGAAAAAGGAATCACAGTAGGAAAGTATGGGGACACAGTTCATTGTAGTATCTACTGAGTGAGTGATGTTTGTGCAAGGGATTGTGGGTACAAAATACATAAGATATCATTGTGGAAGTTATCTAGAGGTGTAAAAGAAGCACTTATAACCACACTAGAAATAACAGAATTGTTATAACAAAGAAATATATAGTATATACACTTGGCTTCTTGGTTATCTGTGGGTTCCACATCTGGATTAACCAGCTGAAGATAGAAAATACTTTGCTAAAAAAAATGCATATGTACTGAACACATACAATGGGAGAGTTGGGAAACTTCATGTATTTAGTACCTAACCCTTTATGGGTCCTTTTGGGGAGAATAGAGATCCCATGTGTAGTAACAAAAGATGTGAACATTCATGCCTTTCATAAAATTGAAAGACAGTATTGCGATCACTGTTTGTTTTCTCTGTCACTGGATCCTGAGTTCCTAGAAGGAAGGATCAATGTCTTGTTCATTATTTTATCTTCAGCACTGAAGTATTTCTGTCATTCCAGGATAAAAAATGATCAGTGTTGTTGAATTAATGAAAGTGTTGAGGAGAAATCAAGTAGTTTTTTTATGGCTATGTATATGATTGAAGAAGTAGGGGGATAGATTCCTTATTAAAGAGAAGCAGAAGCTAGTTGCACTGGGGAATGCATTGCAAACACTTTTTTTTTTTATATCCTCTAATGGTCACTTACGTGCTTATGGGAAATTACAAACAGTGGGTTTAATTTACCCACTATTTTATGTCCTTTTAAAAGTCAAAGCTATGCTTATGGAAATTGCAAGATTTTTTTTCTTTGTTTTTCAGATTTATGTTTTAATTGTCTGACTATAGTTTCAAATATTTTTAGGTATGGGGCAAAATTTATTTCAGCAGCTATTCAGTGTTCCTTAAGGGCCAGGAACCATACAGATGAAAAAAGTTGTATATTAAAAATTTAGTTAGAAAAAATACTAGTAATTTAAAATATGTAGTACAGTTAGGTATTAGTGTTTTAAGAAGATTTCGAACAAGTGGATGAAAGGTAGATGTTGAATTGTGTCTTTATTTTCTTTAATTGCAGGACTTTATCGACCTGACATTATCGAAGACTCAACGAAAGACTCCAACAGTGATTCATAAACATTACCAAATTCATCGCATTAGACATTTTTATATGAGAAAAGTCAAATTTACTCAGCAGAATTACCATGACAGACTCTCACAGATTGTAACAGATTTTCCCAAATTGGATGTAAGTGATTCTAGGAGTTGTGTATGGTCATATAAATGTGGGCCTTCAGAGAATCACCATTTAGCCAGTTTGATATAGTCATTTGACAGAAAAACAGAAAATAATTGATATGCTAGCATTAAAGCTGGGAACAGGATCTGTTTTTTGTTTTGTTTTTTATTTTTAGTGTTTTTCCTCAACCAGATTCCATCCAGTGAGGCCCAAAGCTATCTTACCTGACTTTCTTTGAAACCTGTAGGCTTGCAGGGACCAACCCAAACTAGATAAAAGCTGTGGTTATAAACTCTATAGCTCAGGATTCTCTGATGGGCTCACTAGGACACACTGGCATGTCTGAGCTTTGTCTTCTCCCTCTGGCTGGGGCTTTTTCCTCTTGGCTCGATGAGGGTCAATGGGCTGAGATCCACCACTGTGATCTTGTTACTTTATCAGCGGATGATGGTCATTTCAGCACTTATAGTTTTCTTCACTATCAAGAAGAGATGGCAGAGGGAGTTGTGATTCCTGCATTAAGCTAAAGAAGCTGAGTGATTGCCTTACTCCTCAGCATACTGTAGTTTACTAAGTATATTTCTATACTTAGCTATAGAGATATGAGTAGAAACTGCTTGACAGAACCTAATAGCAAAATTTGTGAGTGGCTGTGTAGAATCACAGAGTTGCAAGGTTATTTGAGGTTGTGAAGGATCTGGGTATCAGAACAGTCTTAAAGCCTAAATTGGTCATTGCTGCAAAGTGGTCCTGGAGTATAGGTGAGACAGAGACAAAAGGTGGGTTTACGTGAAATGTTTTTCTTTCATATTTAAAAAATAAATATACAGAAGTGTTTAAAATATGAATTAAAAAATTCCTGTAAAAGACAGGCACTTATTTTGTCTCTCTAGAACTTGACACAGGTGCTCAGTGGATATTGAATGAGTGAATGATTTACTGGGGGAGGTCAAGTACTGGAGATTACCCAAGGATGAAAAAAGAGATTAAGAATGATATTATTGGGGCTGGGGCTGTAGCTCAGCAGGCAGAGTGCTTGCCTAGCACATGTGAGGCATGGGTTCCATCTTCAGCACCACATAAAAACAAATAAAATAAAGGCATGTTGTCCATCTACAACTACAAAAAATTTGAAGAAAAAAAAATGAGATTATTACCAGGCATAGTGGCACTTGCCTGTAATCCCAGTGGCCTGGGAGGCTGAGGCAGGAGGATCGAGAATTCAAATCCAGACTCAGCAACTTAGTGAGGCCCTAAAAGCAACTCAGTGAGACCCTGTCTCTAAATAAAATTGGGGATGTGGCTCAGTGGTTAAGTGTCCCTGGGTTCAATCCCCAGTATCCAAAAAAAAATTATTCTAAACTAACTTGATATTAGGAAGCACCTGATTTAGCAAACAATTTATTTTTATTTTAATGTAATTACCATCACATTCATTTGATTCTTTGTAACAATTCTTATCTTTTCTTCCTCTTCACTTTTTTTTTATACATTAGAGATGGAAGAGTTCAACTACATGAACATTGTATTACTGCTACCTAGTAACAGTCTCTCTACTCTGAAATTGTTCTCAGATAATTGACTATAGTCAGTCACTCATTGGACACTTACTGTGTCAGGTACGGTTCTGAGCACTAGGAATACAGCAGTAATAAAGTCCCTGTCTTCATTTCAGTGGGTGAAAGAGTGGTAAATCAAAGGTACATAGTATGTCAGATAAAAGAAATGTAGCCAGGTTAGGGGAGTCAGAAGTGTCTGCAGGGAGGTGGAGCAGTCACCAGAAGTGAGTGAGCCCTGTAGGCCAAGAAACAACAAATGCAAAGGCTGTGAAGTGGAGGAGACCCAGCGGGTGGGGCAGAGTTTGTGAGGGAGAACTGGAACAGGAAAGGGAGGGGCCTGGCAGTGTGAGTAGGTCTTCGAATTCTATCCTTAAAGAAGAATTTAGAGGGTTTTGGGGATACCTAGCCATTAGGAGGTCAATGCAGTGATTAGGATGTGTGATTTTAAAATCATGGCAACTTAGATAATTGGGATAGTGGAAAGCTGTTGAGAAGTGATTGGCTTCAGGATTATTCAGAAGCAGAACTAAAAGGATATGCTCATAGATTTGATACAGGGTTGAGAGAAAGAATTGGGAAGACTTCAGGGTTCTCCACCTTGGATGTCAAGTCTTGCTTTTCAACACACTGAGGAAGACTAAGAGGAGCAGGTCCAGGCTGTACATGCTATCTTGAGATGTGTGTGAAATATCTGAGTAGAAATGCCAAAGCCATGTAGAAACAGATTTGTTTCATAACGTAGGTACGTACTGGGGATTGAACTCAGAGGCGCTTTACCACTGAGGTACATCCCTAGTCCTTTTATATTTTTTAATTTTGAGACAGGGTCTCACTAAGCCTCGAACTTGGTATCCTCTTGCCTCAGCCTTATGAGTTGAATCCAAGGGTGCTTTCTGAGCACCCCATTCCGGCATTTGCCAAGAAGGGAACAACAAAATGGAGCAAGAGGCAGAAGGATTGTGGGATTGAGGAATTTTTAGTTTTTTAAAAGATATGGTCCCAGCTGCTCAGGAGGCTGAGATAGGAGGTTCTTGAGTTCAAAACTAGCCTCACCAAAAGCGAGGTGCTAAGCAACTCAGTGAGACCCTGCCTTGGGCTGGGGATGTGGCTCAAGCGGTAGCGCGACCGTCTGGCATGCGCGCGACCGTCTGGCATGCGCGCGACCGTCTGGCATGCGCGCGACCGTCTGGCATGCGCGCGACCGTCTGGCATGCGCGCGACCGTCTGGCATGCGCGCGACCGTCTGGCATGCGCGCGACCGTCTGGCATGCGCGCGACCGTCTGGCATGCGCGCGACCGTCTGGCATGCGCGCGACCGTCTGGCATGCGCGCGACCGTCTGGCATGCGCGCGACCGTCTGGCATGCGCGGCCTGGGTTCGATCCTCAGCACCATATACCAACAAAGATGTTGTGTCTGCCGAAAACTAAGAAATAAAATATTAAAATTCTCTCTCTAAAAAAAAAAAGACCCTGCCTGTATTTAAAATACAAAATAGGGCTGGGGATATGGCTCAGTGGTCAAGTGCCCCTGCATTCAATCCCTGCACGCCCTCCACCGCCCCCCCCCAAAAAAAAAAAAAAAAGATTTGGCAGCTAGCAGCACACCTGACCAGTAAATAGTCAGGTGGAGGAAAGAATTTCTGGAGCTTAAGTTCCTGAGTAGCAGGAGAGGGTAGGATCTGGTGCATATGGGGAGGGCTGTCCTTGGCTAGAAGGAAGGTTAGGGTGTAGATAGTTGCTGTCTCTCTTCTGATTGCTTCTGCTTCCAGTTTTTTCCCCCTTCTTGGCACTGGGAATGGATCACTCCCCTATCCCCTCACACATGCTAGGTGAACACTCTACCACTGAGCTATATATCCTCAGCCTTTTTTTGAGATAGGGTCTCACTAAGATGCCAACACTGGCCTTAAACTTATAATCTTCCTGCCTCAACCCTCCAAGTATCTGGGAGTACAGGCACACATCACCATGCCCAGCTTCTTCTGCTCTTAAGAAGACTAAATTGAAAGGGTCATTGGTTAGGAGAGGGGTCTGGAGAGAAGCTTGGGTTTAAATAGAGAGGAAAAGGAAATTATTCTTCACGTGTTGTTTAAATGTAAGGATGTGAAACTATTGAACCAACACAACTGGTCTTTTTTGTTTGTTTTAGGATATCCATCCATTTTATGCTGATTTGATGAATATTCTGTATGACAAGGATCATTACAAGTTGGCTCTAGGACAGATTAATATTGCCAAAAATTTAGTGGACAAGTAAGGTATTTTCTTAAAATAGTGTCTTTTAAGTTATTGTCAAAAGTGATAAAAACAGGCTTACATATTTTTTTATTTTTAAAGTGTTGCTAAAGATTATGTACGGCTTATGAAGTATGGCGATTCTCTCTACCGCTGTAAGCAGCTGAAGCGTGCTGCCCTTGGGCGAATGTGCACCATTATCAAGCGGCAGAGGCAGAGTTTGGAATATCTGGAACAAGGTACTTGTTTTACATGAGCACTTTTTTTTTTTTAAATGTTTATTTTTTAGTTGTGGTTGGACACAATACCTTTATTTTATTTATTTTTATGTGGTGCTGAGGATTGAGCCCAGGGCCTTGCAAGAGAGCTCTATTGCTGAGCCACAACCTCAGCCCCTCCCCCGCCTTTAAAATATACATATTTTTTTTTCTTTAAAAATTTTTGTTTTGGTGCAAAACATACATATATTTTTTAGTTGTTAATAGACTTTTATTTTATTTATTTATATATGGTGCTGAGTATTGAACCCAGTGCCTCACATGCCAGGCAAGTATGCTACCACTGAGCTACAGCCTCAGCCCACAAATGTTTTTTAATGTGTTTTGTTGAGGTGATTGATACTTGTTGAGGACTTATTCTTAAGGTGTTTGTTTTAGAGATGATGGGATCAAATGATTTTTTTTTAGCATAATCTATAAGAAATTCTAGTAGGCTAGTTATTATTGAAAAAGTACATAGTAATTATAATGTCTACAAACTATAATTACTATTAAACAAAATACATGTTTTTAATACTGAATAGGTAAGACATAGATGTGAATCTTGGGAAAATACTGAAGAATATATGAAAGTAAAGTAACTCACAGTTTTGTTTATTATTGACAGTTTTATCTTTAAAAAATGCTTTTATTTAACAGAACAGTTTCTGAATTTTGGAAAAATTTTGTGGAAAGAGTTACTTACTACCTCCTACACATGTGTTTTTACACTACAGTCATTTTGACTTGTCTGGTTTTGTTCTCCTTTCCATTGCATTTTATATATCATTTTTGACCAGTTTTATGATACGTGAGTACTTTGAAAATTTTTTCCTACATGACTTTTGGCTCTGCAGGATACCCCAGTGGGTGCCACTCAAGTGTGTGGTGTTGCAGATGAGGCAATTAAATGGAAGTAGTTCATGGGCTAGCCAGTGTGTGCTTCCAAACATGCTGCTGTCCCAATAACCTCACTTAACAAAAATCATCTGGACGCTTCTCCAGATGTGTTTTTGGCCTCCTCACCTTTGACTTATTGAATCAAAATAGCAGGTTGGTAGGCCTAGAAATTTTTGATTCATCTACATTTGGGAAATACTATTATATATGCACATATATGCTGTTACTCTGCAATTTTTCCTTTTTTCCATTCACTTATATTTTCTCCATCACGTTTGGGTAATAAAAATTGAGTGAGATTAATGTAACTATGAGCTTACAGTGTAGCTAAATTTTGAGTCTCTTAATCTTTCAATTTAAACTTTTCATAGTGCGTCAGCATTTATCCCGCTTGCCAACCATTGACCCAAATACAAGGACTCTACTTTTGTGTGGGTACCCAAATGTTGGGAAATCCAGCTTCATTAATAAGGTAGGTGTGTTTTTTTATTATAAAGCAGATTATTTGACTATACTAGGACAAAGTGATACTGTATTCTCACTTGGTGGAATTTAGGACGCTCATGGTAATGTTTCTGGGTGACCGGTTAGTGCTTTAGTGAACACTACCCTAGTCTTCAGGAGGTCCTGATACCAGGTTCCCCTCAGGAAAGTGTAATTCATTGTCTGAACCTATGCTTATATTGCTATTACAACAAAACAAAACATTATTTTAAATTCTTGTATGTGCCTCACAATTTCTGAGGAATTTTAGAAATTTGAGTGCTTTTATGATGACAACTAGAAAGCTTTTCACAGGTGTGTTTTATCAGCTTATCCTGGGAATGGTTGTGCCAGAGGAGTATCTGTGACAGGTGACACTGAGCTGGACTCTCCTAGTCTGCAGCTACTCTGTTGGTGGTTTGTCACTTTGATTGTTGTGTCATCTTTTATATAAACTGTGAGGTCCATTGTAGTGGTCAGTTGTTGAGTGTCTCTCTACCTGAGTGAATTTATTAAGATCCAAGTGTAATATTTAAGTAATTGAGTAATTTGGTACTTCAGAACAATTTAGCTGATCTTGAGGAACCTAAAAGGAATGGAAACAGCATTTAAAATGTTAGTTTAAAACTAGCAACCGTTGAGGTATCAAAAAAAATTGCTAAAATATTAGGGCTTACATGGTACAAAGAATAATTTTTTGCTCTGAAGCAGATCAGTGGTTTTATTTTGACAAGTTACCCTGGCATGATAACAAGCAAAGCTCTCCATGGTCTTGGTTGAAGTGTTAAATGCTTGTCAGCATGGGCTGAACCTTTCTATGACCAGCCAGGACTCTGGGGGCTAGTGTGGCATCTGCTAGCTACATCTGGCTCTTTTAAATTGTATAAACTAATTAAAATGAAAAATTCAGTTTCTCGGTCACAGGCACCATATATTAATTGTTCATTAGTACCACACTCTGGTGGGGCCCCATTTGGAAAGTGCAGGCATAGAGAGTTTCTGTCAACAGAGAGCACTCTTGGGTGGTACAGGTAGTGGGAGAGTGAGAGGAGGTGTTTTCCTCATAGGCTGGGCCTTCCTTTGCCTCCTGAGACAGGTCCAGTGGTTTGAGGGATGAGGAATCAGTGCATTTACCAAAGTTAATAGCTCCTGACCTATGCAGTTTAATCATGTGAAGTTTTTCTGGGTTTTTCCCTACTAAAAATCAGTCTTAATAATGTATAGGTATTGTGCTTAATTATTTGAGAAGAAATGAGTTATGGAACTTGTGTGACTGTGGAAGTTTTCATTATTTTTTTTCAAGGTGACGAGAGCAGATGTTGATGTTCAGCCCTATGCATTTACCACCAAGTCTCTGTTTGTTGGGCACATGGATTATAAGTATCTGCGTTGGCAGGTAAGCGTCTTATCTGTACATATACAACAGACCTTTTTGTTTTTGGATTGTTTTGGATTGATGTTCCTAAGGAACTACAGTGTTTGTCTGTATTCCATAGTGCACTTGTTTATTTATCTCCTTTATGAGCACTGTCCTGTAGGGAGGATTCTGAGGATTAGGAAAGAGATTTTTCTGATGTCATCAAGAACTTGAAATTTCTTTTATTATGAAAAATGGGGATGTATTAGGGCAGTTCATATTTTATATATAATTTCGAGGAGGCAACCAGCTGCCAGTGTGTGATTTAGTGATTTTATTTCATTATTATTATTATTATTTGGTACCAGGGATTGAACCCAGGGATGCTTAACCCACTGAGCCACATCCCCAAAACTTTTTGTATTTTATTTAGAGACAGGGTCTCACTGAGTTGCTGAGGCTGACTTTGAACTTGGGGTCCTCCTGCCTTAGCCTTCTGAGCTGCTGGGATTACATGTGTGCACCATCACACCCGGCTTCATTTCATTAGTGATTGCTGCCAATGAAATGAAATTCTCTTTGTATCATTCCTAACTCTGCCACTAGAAATGGCATCAGCTATTTAAAAACATGAAACAATTTGTTTCCGTAATTGAATTTGACTTAAAAAATAACAAAATAATTCTTACAACCTGGGAGAGTTTGCTAGTTATTCCAGTTTTTATGGTATGGTCATTAATGAAAAGGAATAGTTTATCTCAAGGTATTTGGTTAGCTCTTTAGCTCTGCAAGGTCTCCACCTCTTTTGTTTTAATGTATTAAGAATGTGTTTTTTTCTTATTGCTTTGTGTCATCATTTACTTGTTTTGTTAGGTCTAGTTTAGGTATGTGAAAATGACTTCTGGGTTGTACTGGACAAGAAATTTATGAGTAAATGTATGTAGGAGTAATGAAGTCTGGTTATTAGGTTGTAGATACTCCAGGGATTTTGGATCATCCTTTGGAGGATCGGAACACCATCGAAATGCAGGCTATCACGGCCCTGGCGCATCTTCGAGCTGCCGTTCTGTATGTGATGGACTTGTCTGAACAGTGTGGACATGGGCTGAAAGAGCAATTAGAACTTTTCCAGAATATCAGACCTCTCTTTATCAATAAGGTATTTACAATCACATTTTAATTTACACAGTACTTCTGCCTTATCTGTGGGGAATGAATTGCAAGATGCCCCCCCCGCCCCCCGCAGTGCCTAAGATCACAGATAGTACTGAACAATGTGTGCTATTTGAACAAAAGCACCATGATGCCACAATAGTTGATCTGATAACTGAGATTACAAAAAGTTATTGACTGGTTGGTAGCATACACAGAATGAAGACACTGGTCAAAGGGATGATTTACATTCTGGGTGGGATGGAGCCGGGTGGTACAAGATTTCATTGTACTACTCAGAATGGTGTACAGTATAAAATTATGAATTGTTTATTTCTAAAATTTTTCATTTTAATATTTTACAGATGGGGGACTGCAGTATTCCCCAATATGAAAGAGATAATTTTTTGTTTTTGTTTTTTGCTTTCTAGCCTCTTATAATAGTAGCAAACAAATGTGATGTGAAACGAATAGCTGAACTTTCTGAAGATGATCAGGTAAATCACCTTAATATTTTAATCACTTTTATTCACTATTCTGAGTTCTCTTATCAGCCTAAGTTTTGAAGGAATTTAGCCTTAATAGGCCAGATACTATCCTCTGTAGTCAGTGGCATAACCATTAGGTAAACCTAAGACACAGGTTCTATGGAACCATCTGTGTGTTTGATGGGTTGATACATTGAACCTTTGAAAAATGTCGTTACTTTGGAAAGGATTATTCTTTTGAATTGGTGGCTTAGAAGAAGTAAGTTGTGGAGGTGAGTTTATCTCTTCCAGGCCTCAGAATATCAGGTATACCAGGGCAGCATTTCCAAAATAAAGTTCTTATTAGGATGTATATATGTATGTGTTAATAGAAAGGATTCTGTGGTGAAATGAGTTTCAGAAACGAGTGATTAAGTGTAGGACAACAAGAATCTCTAAGCTCTTATAAAGTGGGGCTTTCCAGAATTGCGAGTGTCTGCTAACATATTCTCTGGGAGGCAGGCAATGTAATGAAGTGTGATTTTTCAAATAAATTTGACTCTGTAGCCCTTTTTAATAGGCAGCTTTTTGGATGAATAAATACTTTGAGAGACATGTACTACTATAGTGGTTTTCACACTGGTCCTTGGAGCAGCAGCACTGTTATCACTTCTGCCTGCTAACTTGTCAGAAATGTAGATTCCTGGGTATACCTGGCTACTGAGTCAGAAAGCCTAGGGTATGGCAGCAGTCTGAGTCCAGCAGGCCTTCCAGGTGACTGGAGTGCACTAGAGTTGTGAGAACCACTGCACTTGAGTGAGAAATGCTGTCTGGCCACGTCCTGTGGAGTATGCTTCATTGACCCAAATTGAAGAAGGTCCTGAGGTCAGATGAGTGTGTTGTTTCCCGTTCAATGTCTTCTTCTACTTGGATGTCTTATAGTTGATAAGGATTAGCTTTTCTTAAATAGCCATGCTGGTTTTCTCAGGACACAGCAGTGAATTCTTTAAATTATTTATTAATTATATGAATATTGATGCCAGAGAATTATTTGTCTTTGAAAGAACTTTTATGTCTACTAGTTTAGTTTTTCAGTCTTAAAGGCATTGGAGGAGAAGAAGAGTTGGGGGGCAGTAGGTAACATCAGAAAGGTTTAAGAAGGATTTTGTGGTCAAATGCTTAAGCTTCGGGTTAGACAACCTCAGGCCCCAGCTTTACTACTTAACCAGCTGTGCGGGGGGGGGGGGGGGGGGCGGGGGAATGAGGTCACTCTTCTGAGTCCTGGAGTGGAAGTAATGCCTGGGACATTGGCTACTTGTCAGCTGTGGTGGGGAAGTAAGGTCATCTTTACAATCCCCAGCTTGCCCAGAGAAGGTAATATCTAGTTACTTACCAGCTGTGTGGTAGAGAAGTAGGATGACATTTTGGAGTTAGCTTATCTGTTAAGTGGAAGTAATGCCACATCATTGATTGTTGAGAAGTTTTCATGAAATCAGGAAGCAAATGCATAACAGGCACTGTTATAATATTGTTGTTTGGTTAAGTGAACATTATTTTACAGTGATGTTGTTACATAATAGTTACACATATGACAACTATCACATGCATAGGTAGGCTCAGTGACCAGCCTTTTTTAGGGTCATAAGTTGCCAAGTGGCAGAATTGGTGCTCAAACCCTTGTTTTCCCTGAAACCACAAGCTGGGGATTGTAAAAATGACCTTACTTCCCCACCACAGCTGACAAGTAGCCAATGTCCCAGGCATTACTTCCACTCCAGGACTCAGAAGAGTGGGACCTCAGATGCTGTACTAATGGAAGTAGACCTGTTCTTGAGCAGCTTCACTGTCATGTGTTGGTCTTCTGCCTCTGAACTGTGGTTATGTACTCAGTTAGATGTAAATGTGGCATTTGCTGGAGGGTGTGCAAATCAAGCCCCTTCTTATAGAGTCTTAATGATTCTGTAAGAATGTATTTGTAAACATTTTTTATTGTTTTTTACCTAAGGAATTCCTTTAGGCTGTGAAGCAGATTTTTTAAAGAAGAAAGAAATACCATTGAGCTGGTTGCTATTGTGCCTATCTGTAATCCTGGCTACTTGGGAAACTGCAGGAGGATCACAAATTGAAGGCCAGCTTGAGTAATTTAGCAAGGCTCTATCTCAAAATAGACAATGAAAAAATGCCAGGGATATAGCTCAGTAGTGGAGCACCCCTGGGTTCAATCACAAGTACTGCAAAAACACAAAAAATAGCACTGAAAACATTTTTTATAAAGTCGATCCTGATTTTGCCTGTTTCTGTTTTGGAAAGTGATTTCTTTCAGAATGTTCTGTAGAACTTTGGATTACACTTGGCTGTAGTTTGGTTTGATTCTCCCAGGTTGCTTGCTTGTTTATTTTTACTGCTAGGGATTGAATCCAGGACCTCATGCATGCTAAACACTTAGATGTACCTCCAACCCCTTACAGAAAAGTGTTGGGGGAAAACATTTAGATGCCTGTTTTTTTTTTTTTTTTTTTGTAAGTACTTATTATATTAGCAAAGTGACAAGAACTTTCTCTAAAGAAATAATTCTAAAATATCACCATAACAAATTTTCACCAAAATTCAGCCATAATTTTCCATGGTTATTAATCCTAGACAAAATGTACATTTTTAGATGCCTGTTCTTTGGGGGTAAAATTACATCATAGACATTGAGCTATTAGCATTTAAGACCTCCATTTGCATGACAATACAGTTTGTTCCTTAGGGAACTGAAAATCAATATTGCATGTCTCATTTTTCCTTTGTGTTCACAGAAAATATTTGTAGACTTGCAAGCTGAAGGATTCCCTGTAATAGAGACCAGTACCCTGACTGAGGAAGGTGTTATTAAAGTTAAAACAGAGGTCAGTACTTGAGTAAGTCAGGTATCAATCTTTTTATTGCCCATCTTTTGTTTTAGAAAAGTCATTGGGGGGCTGGGGTTGTGGTTCAGTGGTAGAGCATGTGCGAGGTGCTGGGTTCGATCCTCAGAACCACATAAAAATAAATAAATAAAATAAAGGTATTGTGTCCAACTACAACTAGAAATATATATGTGTGCTTGTGTATTACGTATGTGTGTTCGTGTGTGACACATGAAAAGTCATTGGGTGGGGAATGATTTTTCTAGGAGTTATTAACACTGAGGAATGGTATATTATAAGATGGATCATCCACATGGACACAGAACACTCATGCCGTTGCCCATTCAGGTGAATGATGGGATTTGAAGAGATAACAGTTGCCCCTCAGTATAAAGTGGTATGGTATTTTCATATCACCTAAGTACATCCACCCATGTACTTTGAATTATTTTTAGATTACTTACAATACATAGTACATTGTAAATGATATGTAAGTAGTTGCTATATTATATTAGAGAATAATGATGAAGAAAAACCAGTCTGTACATGTTTAGTTCAGAGCAAGTTTTTCTTCAAATGCTTTTGCTCTATAGTTGGTTGAATTGGTAGTTGTGGAAACTGTATATGGAGGGTCATGTACTTTACAGTTCCCACTATAGGAGGTATTAAAATGGCTGCTCTATCTTTTGACCTTCCTCTGTGGCCATGGTAAAAAGTCCTTTATAGAACATTTTTAGTCATAGAATGAAAGAAGTAGTCTTAAAATCAAGAACATCTTGGGAGAGGCAGTCTTCTGTTCAGTTTCACATGCTATCTTATTTTCTACATTAGCATGTTACATTTTACTTGGAAGGGATTAGTTGGTTGAGTGCTGGGCAAGAGCCTTGCATCTAGATGAGGCAGATAGCGGGCACTCATCTACACAGGATTGCTCATGGTGGAAGTGAGACCTGATAGCGGGCACTCATCTACGCAGGATTGCTCATGGTGGAAGTGAGGCCTTGAATGGGACATGGGAGGGCTTCTTCAGGATTCTGGCTCAGGTTGGCCCTCTTCTTTGTAGAGAGTGACCTGCACCAGCATAGATAACTATTGAGAGAAAATGCTTAGAAGTTCCAATCTAATCTATCAGTGAGTGGGGGTTTGATTCTTGATTCTTCCTTCAATGTAAGGCATAGGGTTCATAAGTCTTTGTGACTCTGCTTTGTTTTCGTACTTTGTTAGGCTTGTGACAGGCTTTTGGCACACCGAGTGGAAACAAAAATGAAAGGAAACAAAGTGAATGATGTGCTGAACAGGTTGCATTTAGCTGTGCCTAACAAGAGAGATGATAAGGTAAGGTGGCCTTTTGAGGGAACCTTTGAGATATTGTGATGTTGGTGCTGGTCACAGCCTTTCCCCAAGGTGGCTGATCTAGTTACACACAAGCACAAATGGACTTCATGATTAAGCTTGTTTCTCATTCATAATAAAGTTACTCATATACATGGTAAAGAATTGGGGAGGCAAAGAAGGTAAAGCGCCATGTAAAACCAGCTTCTCAGATGCAGTTACTTTTAACTTATCAGTCTTGTTTATCCTTCTAGGAATGTGGTTTTGTTTGTTTTGGTACCAGGGAGTGAACTCGGGCACTTGACCACTGAGCCACATCCTCAGCCCTATTTTGTATTTTATTTAGAGACAGAGACTCATTGAGTTGCTTTGTGCCTTGCTTTTGCTGAGGCTGACTTTGAACTCTTGATCCTCCTGTGTCAGCCTCCTGAACCACTGGGATTACAGGTGTGTGCCACTGCGCCTGGCTCAGGAACGTTTTTGATAGAGTAGTTGTTTTTTTTTTTTTTTTTTTAATTTTAAGCAGTTGGACATGTTTTCTTTTTAAATTTTCACTTTCTTGCCACTATAAACACTGCACACCTTTATACATAGAATTAGAGTGTTTTGGAAATCTGTTAATTTTAAGGTGTGAAATTGAAAATGCTACCATCAAAAATGCTTGTCTAGTTTATATCGCACTAACAGTTGGGATATCATGTTGGGTATTAATTGGTCATCTTAAGAATATAAAGATGGTTTTCTTATTGTTAAATGTTTCTTCAATGATGAATGCAGTTGAGCTTTTTTTTCTTTTTGTTTTCCTTATTGACTACCTTAGGTTATCATCTTCAGGTTGATTTGTAATCATCTTCATGGTGATTTTTTTAAAAAATCCAATTCTTCTCATAAGTTCTATGAATATTTTTTCCTCTCTGTTACACACTTTTCATGTTTTGGCGTTTTTCTTTTTTAACCTCAGGGAATTACGTGTTTTTCAACTATTAACGTATAATGTTTCCTTTATGGCTGCTGCATTTTCTGTCATACATAGGAAGGCCTGCCATCTAAAAAACTCTTTTTCTTCCATATTCCCTTGTTTGTTTGTTTGTTTAATTCACCTCTTTTTTGGCTACATTTCTTCACTGTCTTGGATTTTTTTGTTCTAAGGGGGGTGCAAGTACTACTTACCTAGCTAGCTCTCTTTTCAGTTAATAGTCATTTATCTCAGAACTGATTATTGATATTTTTCTGTTGAATTCCTAACACATACTTGGATTTATGTGTTAAGTTTCTTATTCATTAATTCATATGTTATTTCTTCTGCTTTACTTCCTTACATAATTTTTCTTAATAATTTTGATTTTTTTTCCCTAAATAAACATTAGGACCAGTTTGTGGAATCCTCCTGGCCTCCTTGCTCAAACTGACCTTGAAACCCATGCCCCGCCCCCCGAATATTTTTTTCTCCAAATTTTTTATTGGTACATTATAGTTGTACATAATGGTGGGATTTGTTGTTACGTTTTAGTACATGCACACAATGTAACAAAATAATTTGGCCAATATTATTCCCTAGTGCTTACCCTCCTCCTTCTCTACCTTTATGGTTTATTTGAATTGATATGGGTATGGTTTTTATAGTTTCTCTGCAGACAGAGAATTTGCTCCTTGTTTTTCTTTTTTTTAAGGTTTCTTTCTCATTCAGCAAGATGCTTCACATAAATATTTTTAATAATGTCTTCTCAGGAGAGGCCCCCTTTCATCCCAGAAGGAGTAGTGGCACGCAAGAGGAGAATGGAAATTGGGGAGCCCAAGAAGAAAAGGGTATGTTGCTATAACTCGGGCTAGTTTTATGGAGAGGGAGCAGAATATGCACTGTGATAGGCTTGTGGCCTTGAACATGTGGAATATTAAAGTCTTGAAGGAGGCTTGGAGAATGGGACACAAGCTGAGCACACCCAGGACCCCACCCTTTTAGATTCCAGGACACAGCAGTGAATTTTGAACAAAAATCTCTGCTCTCTTGGAGCTCTTTAGTTGATGGTAGATTGCAGCAAACAAACTGTATAAGATATGTAATCATCATAGTGTCCATCTGTAGCTTTCCTACCTGAAATAGAAGTTGAACCCCAGAGGTACTGAAAGATGTAGAGGACATTGCAACAAGGTGATTTGGGGCTTACTAGGTAATTTTTTTTTTTTTTTTTCCATTGCAGGAACGGGATCTTGAGCTGGAAATGGGAGATGATTATATTTTGGATCTTCAAAGTAAGGGCTACAGTGTAATAGTTATTTTAAATGCTGATTATATATGAGGTATTTGAGGAAAAAAAGACAAGACTTAAAAGAGTGGAAGTCGCCAAGCATATTTGTCAGGTTTTTTTTCCTTTTTATTTTTCAATTTAATTTATTGAAAACTAAATTATATACTTACAGGGCTCTGAGATTTCTTTCCAGGTCATGTTCTGTTTTCAGATGAGACAGTATTTTTCTAGCTTGAACAGTTGTTGGTCAGGGTTGACCTTTTTTTTTTTAAAGAGAGAGAATTATTTTTTTAAAAAATAAATATTTTTTAGTTTTCGGTGGACACAACATCTTTATTTTGTTTTTTTTACACGGTGCTAAGGATTGAACCCAACACCCCACGCATGCCAGGCGAGCGCGCTACTGCTTGAGCCACATCCCCAGCCCGGTCAGGGTTGATCTTGTTAGTAGTGACTTACACAGTATTCAACAAGTGTTCTGTTATATTTATGAAGTGATGAGACTTGGTATAAGTTATAACTCATTTGGGGCATAATGTACTTTAAGATATTAGAAACTATCATAAACTTAACTTTTTTTTTTTAACTTTAGAATACTGGGATTTAATGAATTCATCTGAAAAATATGATAAGATACCAGAGATCTGGGAAGGCCATAATGTAGCTGATTATATTGATCCTGCCATCATGACGGTCTGTCACTTTTAAAATTATTGATATTTCCTTTTTAGTGTGACTGTTGGAAGATACAAGCACATTTTGCTGATTTTTGTTCCTTTTGTTCTCTTCATGTATATCCCTCTGCCCCTGTCCTTCACCACCCCCCCTTTCTCTCTAAGACATCACCACCCCTCCATCCCTGATGGCATTGCCTCCTCTGCCCTCCCTGGTCCTGGAGAAGTCCTGAGCTCTTCCCCCTGTGCTGTAAGTGGCTGTCAGTCTGGCTAACATTGGTACAGCACTGTGAATCATGTTACTGACCTGCATTCTGTCAGGCTTTGGGGCTGTATTTCTCCTGCCTGTATTTCTTTCTGTCCAGCAGGTGGCGTCACATTGTCAAGAAAATCGCAATTCCATGGGGTGTGAACTCTTCTTATCTCCTGTTTTCTGTCCCTGTCTCAGCTATTCTTCTAATCTGAGAGACTCTGATTTAACTCTGGAGAATGCTCAGCCTCTTCTTGATCTGTGGTTCTTTAGAGTTTTGCTCCATAACCAGCATCTTTCTTCTCAGTATCTCCTCCCTACTTGCTTTTTCTTAGCACATAAATGTCCACAATTTTCTTGTCTTTTTGAAAAACAAAAGCTTTGTTTATCCTTATGTCTTCCTTTAGTTCATATCTTGTTTTTCAAGACTCTTTGGGAAAAATACTTTACAAAATCTTTGCTTTCTGTATTTTTCTACTACTCAATTCCTTTTTTCATTTACTTGTTAAGTTTCATTTTCTGTAAGCTCTTCACGTCCTCCATCTCAAACTCATTTCCACTATAGAAGTTGAGCTGGTTAGAGTGCCCAAAGAATGAACCTGAATGTCAGCCACCTTCACTCCATTCCTACTGTTCACTTACTTGTTACCCTTGTCTTCTATCATCTAATTTTCATCCTTTCTTCCTCTTCCATTATCTCCCTGTTTTTCCAACCTCTTCCCCTTTCCATGCTGTGTTCTCATTCCCATATATGAGCAATCATGTGATGCCCGTAAGTTTTCCCTCTGTGTCTTGTGTGTTCATCTTCTCTTGTTTCATTTCCAGTTTCCAAGACAGATTGGCCAATCTGGCCTGTCCCATCCTTTCCCAGCCTCTTTCCTTTTCCCCTGTCTGTTAAGCTTCTGTTCAGATTGGTTTGTTAGAGTAAAATATACATGCATGTATTTTTTAAATTTTTATTTTTTCTTAACAACTTCATAGATTATATTTAGAATGATATTAGAATGGATAAATTGGATATTATACAAATCTATTACCTGTCTTTGCTGGGAATGTTGGGGAATGAGGGAAGTGGTCTCTGCACATTTTTAGACTTGAAGTTATCTTGGAGAAAGGGCAGTGGCGTAGAACAGTGCTGGATGTGAACCCTGAGTGTCCATGTCGTCTCCGTTTTGTTCACAGAACCTGTTTTCTGTGAGATAAGTTCTGTACATGATCAGGACTCAACTGTGACTGGATCATGTTACCACACCTACTTAGGAGTTTTTTGTTGTTGATTTTGTTTAATTGTGATTACTCTATTTTTGAAGAAATTGGAAGAGTTAGAAAAAGAAGAAGAGCTAAGAACAGCTGCGGGGGAGTATGATAGTGAATCTGAAAGTGAAGATGAGGAAATGATGGAAATCAGACAGCTAGCAAAACAAATTAGAGAAAAAAAGAAGCTGAAAATCCTACAATCAAAGGAAAAGGATACACAGGGACCCAGGATGCCTCGAACTGCTAAGAAGGCAAGTTTTGTGTCATTCCTAAAAGGGACAACCTGTTTTTTGTGTATTGGATTCTTATGTAAGTCATTACGAAAGACAAGGTTTCAAGTCATTTGTGACCATAAAGTTACACATACTTAGATGTGTTGGTGTATATTGACTTGCAAGGCGGTTTCTCTTGATCTATTATATTTTGATTACAGTGCCCTTTCATTTTTAAATTCAGCACAATTGTAAATACAATCATTTTGTAGTAGTTGTACCAAGTTAAAATTGTAACTTACAGTTTTAAAGCCATCAATTAACATTTTTTTTTTTTTAATTTTCTATATTTGCAAGGACTCTTATTACCTTTTACAACTTACAGAAACCTAACTCAAATCTTACTTAAACTCAAAAGGTGATTTCTGGCTCCTGTAACTGGTTAGGGTGGGCAGAGTTGTACTTTAGACATGAATGGGTCAGGCAATGTCAAAATCCTTCCCATTTCTCAGCTTTGCCTCTGGCCTCCCAGGCCGTGGGCACACCCAAGCATTATGGCCATGGCAGGGTTCTATAATAACCCTCCTGGACCATAGGAAATGAGGTAAGGGAGCACCAACTCCCAAAGAAAGAAGACAACTGGCAGGCAGCTAAAATATAATAGGAGAGGAAGAAAAAAAATTTGACATTATAAAAACTTCTCAGAAGATATTCATGCTTTAAAATGTGATAAATGAATGGTTCTTGACATAACTAGGATATTTTAATTTTTCCTGGTGGTACTCATTGATTTCTGGGAGGAAAGATGTTGGCACACTGAATCTGTCTCAGTGTGTATTACTACCATCCACTTTACTATCTCATCTATACCATGACAGTCCTTCTCTTATCCCCTGGGTTTTTTTTTTTTTTTTCTTAAATATTTTATGTTTTAGTTGTAGCTGGACACAACACCTTTATTTCATTTGTTTATTTTTATGTGGTGCTGAGGATCGAAACCAGGGTCTCATACGTGCAAGGAGAGCGCTCTACCGCTGAGCTACAGCCCCAGCCCTCCCCTGGGTTTTTATGAAGAATGAAAGGACAGTATACCTTGTATCTTAACAGAGAAATGTAAATGTTAGTTTTCATGGGATTTAATTGAAGTATCCAAAAACATGCAAGTAATCCCGAGTAAAAAATACACCTTCTAACAGAAATGTGTTACAGGTCATTGTAAAAGGCATGATCTGTAGATATAGAGAAAATACAAGCTCAGTTTGTCTTATCCGATTGTACACCCACATCATAGATCACTTATGTGATTCCCAGAATATGTGTGGGGGGGTGGGAGGCGGTGAGGGAGAGGTTCCATTCAGTCAATAAGCAAGCAGTCAGTTCTGCAGCATATAGCAGCGGGGCATGCTCTAATTGAAGTCACTTCTGATACTGTCTACTTGGAGATAGCATCAAAACCCATATGTTGAAGACTCAGTTTCATGGATTGCCCCTGCTTTAGATACTAGTTCAAGTCCAGGCCTCTGCAACTTTTGACTTGGCAGCTGTAAATTGGGGTTACCAAGATTCTGTCTTTGGTTAATTTGGTTAATTTGCAATGTGCGTCACTGAACTCAGGAAAACACTACACTTACCAAGTACACTCATTGACCTACTTATTATAAAGTACATTTTAAAGGACACAGATGAAGAGATAAGTAGGATGAGATCTGGAAATGTCCCAAGCACAGGAGTCTCCTTGTTGTTGGGCTGTACCATCCTCCCCTGCACTTGAATGGGTTCTTGTCCACACTACTGCAGGCTTCCACATGTTCAACCTTCTAGAAGGTTTTCAAACCTTGGCCTTCTGGATTTTCATGGGGTAGACTGAACAGGGAAGCCCAGCAAGGCTATTTTTTAGATTCTTCTTGTCTTGTGTTGTAGCATTCCTTCTCCCCAGGGATCTTTATGATCATCTTTCAAATGAGGTAGATAATTTTTCTTTTTCCTTTTTTTAAATTTTGTTTGGAACTGGGGGTTGAACTCAGGCATGCTCTTGAGCCACTTCCTCAGACTTTATTTATATTTTATTTAGAGACAGGGTCTTGTTGAGTTGCATGGGGCCTCACTAAGTTGCTGAGGTTGGTTTTGAACTCCAATCCTCCTGCCTTAGCCTCCTAAACCACTGGGATTATAGGTATGTACAACCACACCTGGCTGAGGTACATGATTTCTTGATAACTAACTTCAGGACAGAAAGGCAGGGGAAGACTGGAATTTATTTTTAGTTTGACCTGCCTTGAGAAAGAGAAATAGCTTCCTTCAGAGGAAAAAGGAACCAGAGAAAGGAGGGCAAAAGATCAGACAGTTTGCTTCCTGAGACCTGAAATACCCTAGTTATAGCAAAGACTCTCCTTCATCTCTGTTGCTCTATAGCTGCTTCATCTTACTGTTCTAGTCATTTAGAAATAACAAGGAGTGTAAGAATTATGAACCAGTAATGTGTACCATAGTAGTAGATGTATTTTCCTTTTTTTTTTTTTAATTTCTTTTTAAACATTTCATCTGACCAGTTTTACTTAAAAACTTTTTTTTTTTTTTTTTAACTTTTCAGGTTCAGCGGACAGTTTTGGAAAATGAGATGCGTAGTCTTGGTGTTGACATGGATGATAAAGACAATGTAAGTATGCAGGGATGGTTTTATGTGTAGTCTTGCCCTGCTTAATCACTTGGATGAGTTCCAATAAATCCGTCATTATGTGATTGGTCAGCAGTGCATCAGCGTGTGTCTATATATAGAGGTTGTAGCCTGTTGCTTCTAGGGCCAGTGAACAAAATTAAGTCAAGCACAAGAGAAAATGATGCGATAAAGATATGCAGTACACATGAGCTCTGTGAGGCTGCTGCCAGCATAGCAGCATGCCATTCCACAGCAAACTTTTTTTAATAAGTAGGAGTGCCCTCTAAAAAAAATGACAAAAATAGTAAAATACGAAAGCCAGTAACATGTCTTTTATTATTTTCAAGTGTTAGGTACTGTATATAATTGTATGTGCTACACTTATGTGACTGGCAGCATAATAGGTTGTTTATACCAGCATGACCACAAATCTAAGTAACATGTAGTGTATGACGTTGTGGCAACTGTGTTATCACTAAACAACATCCCCATTCTTTTGAGACAGTCTCACTAAGTTGCTTAGGGGCTCACTTACCTACTGAGTCTGCCCTCAAAATTGCAATCCTCCTGCCTTAGCCTCACAGCTCCCTGGATTATAGGCATGTGCCACCACACCTGGCTTCCATTATAATTTGTGGGACCACTCTTTTATGTGATCCATCATTGACTAAAGTGTTGTTATGTTGCATGTGACTGTATTCATGGGGCTAGCTTCAACTTTGTTTAAATAAAGAAAACCAAGATCTTGGAAACTTGTGAAACACAAAGTTGATGCTAGAATTACAGGGAGAAGAAATAGGAACATTCTGTGTTTCTGGTGAGCAGATTTATTGCTGTAGGGTCTGGTTTGAGGTGATGGATTAGCAATTAAAGAGATAGCCACACTGTTCCAATTCCCTCTTGGGGAATTCTTAGGGACTTATTTCATTGTTCGTGTTAGTGGTACAGAAAGGTGACATTCTCAGAACTCGGCTCTTACTGCTAACAATTCAAGTAGAATTTAAGATCTCACATGTTCCCTTGTCCTTAATTAAAACTCATCCTTGAGGATGGGTAAGGTTTGCCTATGTGTTACATAAAATTCAGTTTTAATTAACATCAGGTAAGTCAGATGAACCCAATGCTTTTGCTTATCTACCTCTTTTATATTGATGGGAAATTTGGAAAATATTAAACTAAACACAAAAACAGTCCTTACCTAGTAGTTATATCATACAAAAATAAAGTAGGTTCTCTCTCTCTCTCTTTTTTTTTTAATATACCTTTATTTTGTTTACTTTTTTTTTTTTTTAATGTGGTGCTGGGGATCGAACTCAGTGCATCAGGCACTGAGCCCCAGCCTCATAAAGTAGGCTTCAGTGGAGGGTTTTTCAGTCTTTCTTTTTAAAATATATATTTATGATTGCAGTCCATATATTCTACATCTCGCTGTGGTATCCCCCCTCCCCCCATTTTAGAGTCAGTTTCTCACATTTTAAGTTGAGTAACAATGTATTTTTATTTTAGCTCTTTTGGATTGTTTTGAGTTCAAAAATTCATTTGTTGTCACCTCAGAATTTATCTTCCTGGGATCTCAAAGACTAGAAAGCATCTTACATATCTGTTAATAATTCTGATTTTTTTTTGCTGTGATGAATTATACTGGAGCTTATACATCTTCATATAAAAGATCCTTTTCATGTTACTAGATCGTTTTCTCAAAAATGATCCAAGAAGTGGAATTACCAAACTCAAAAGAGAACATTGTGTTCCGTTTTTCCAAAAGTAGTAGGATAATTTAGATTCAATCACCAGTGTGTGAGTGCTATTAGCTTCACATGTGCTTGCTTGGAGAATTTTTCTAATATTTGTCTATAGCTTCTGACATTTGGTTGCTTCTTCAGTGCCAGGCTTAATGCTTACATGCCTTTCCAGGTAGTTTCACTATCCTTATCTTATAGACCAGGTAATTGTGGGTGAACAAGGTTAAGGGACTTGTTTAAAGTCCCATGCCCAGCATGAGGCAGAGCCGTGACTTGACTAAGGTCTGACTGCAGAACACATCCTCTTAGGCAGACTACATGCCTTTGCTTGAACCTCAGGGTTGAACATTCCGTGTGTTGGTTGTCAGTTTGTGTTCAGATGGATAACCCCAGAATGGTGGGGTAAGGGAGAGGTAATTTTTTAATGTATGAAATAATCAGTTGTGATGCTAAATCTGAGGTTCAGTTTTGAAGGGGAGGTTCTGAGTTAACTTTTTAAATGGAACTAAAATCAGCTTTGTAGCATCAAGCAGCTTATATTAAGAATATTTCACCAGTAATTATGTGAAATTAATTATGTATATCTTAAAAGATCTTTAGCTTAAAACTCCTTACTGTCCATTCGTTTTGTTAGACTAATTTTGATTATCACTGGCCCTGAAAGCAAGGCTGGGATCTAGAGCACCACAGTTTGTTTTCTGTGCATTTCAGGCCCACTATGCAGTCCAGGCAAGAAAATCTCGGAGTGTCACTAGGAAGAGAAAGCGGGAAGAATCTGTTCCTCCCTCTTCTGTAGCCCGGAGTAGGAGCTGCTCTCGACCTCCACGTGATGTTTCTGGTCTTCGGGATGTCAAGGTTAGTCTCTGTGATATGTAATAATGAGAAAATGAGAGCCTCATATGTAATAGTAAAAAAAAAAAAAAAAATAGTATTTGTTACTTGAGGGCTCAGGGAAAACACCAACAGTTATTTGGAGGAGCAGGAGTTACAGGTGGGAATTTAGCTGTGCACTCCATTCCTTAGTTTATTGACATCCTTTATAGATGAGCTTAAGCCATGGAACAAACAATTGGATGCCCCTGGCAGTCGCCCTTAGTGGACCATTCTTTAATTCTTTCCTTTCCCTTTTCCTTTCCCTTTCCCCTCCTTCCCTTTCCTTTTCCTTTTCCTTTTCCTTTCCTTCAGAAGCATGATCTCATAGTACACCAGCAGTCCGAGCTTAGGTCCCAGCTATTCAGAGCAGTGCTGGGAAATTAGCATCAGGGGCCTCAATCCCAACAAGCCCACATGGAGGAACCAAGCTGGAGGGAACTGTTTTGGATGATCATGAGATGATCGTGTTTCTTTTCATTTTATTATGGGAATGTTTTCTGTTCAAAGTGATAACTTGGGTCACTATCATCATTTCTAGTTTCTTGACAAAGGCACATTGAATGTCCACAATCTCTTTGATGAAATGTCTTTTTGAAAAACACAAAAATGTTTGGTTTCATATCTTGAAAATTCAGATACAGGAGAAAGTCTATATGTATACTGGCAAGCAGCTTACATTAGGGAAGCCTGAATTTTTCATTCCATCGTGCTGTTTCCATCTGGAAATTTGGGTGTTAATATTGGCATAGCCCCCTTGTCAGTCAGATGTGAGTAGTACATTCTCCTGAGCCCGACTTTCAGTGTTGTTTATAAGGATTTATAACAGTTATACCTTATGTCCCAGTTCTTCCAGGTACAAAAATTATACTAGATATGGTTTTCATTTATTGAGTTGCTACAGATACTGTGGTGAACCTGAGTGGATTCGACTTATTAGGATCTCTTTATAGAGAAAACCTGTTTCTTTTTTTAGCACTTGGTGGAGACTTATTTGGGTTTCATTAATTAACTTTTTTGTCTTCATCTCTATAGATGGTGAAGAAAGCCAAGACTATGATGAAGAATGCTCAGAAGAAGATGAATCGCTTGGGAAAGAAAGGGGAGGCAGATAGACATGTGTTTGATATGAAGCCTAAGCACTTACTCTCTGGAAAGAGGAAAGCTGGTAAAAAGGACAGGAGATAGCATCCTTTTCAGTTGACATGGTTTGCCTAGAATTTTACTGTTTAATTCTTGGTTTGGTTTCATGAAATTGGAATCATGATCTAGTAACTGAAAAGACAGTGGAAGTAACTAAAGTTCTTCTTTCTTTCCTGAAAACTGGATAACCATATATAGGTGTGGGAAATTTTAATCACTTCATGATACTATAATTTTGAGTAGATGGTGTTTCTGCATTTAACGGAGTGTTTGCTTCAGAGTCACCATACAAGCTTCAGATGTCAAGTTTTCAACAACAAAATCACAAAGAAACAAAGTATGGCCTAATAAAGTAAAAACTTGATAAAGCCATCCCTTGTAGCTGACTTAATAGATAATAGACTTTCAACAAACTGCTAGGGAAGATTTGCAGAAGTAGAAGTATTGGTGTTACTTGGTTGTTTTGATGGAGAAAACACTTTTGCAAGAGGGAGATTTGGATCATCACACCTGAAGAGCCCTTTTTGTGAAGAAGCACTCTACTTGTTGGGCGTAGACAGAGGCTACCAGCCCTCCCCTGCAGGATAGAAGGCATATCCACTTATGAGTGTTAGAACCCTATGTTTAAAATTCTCTCTCAAATTATTTTCTAATGGGGCTGGAGATGTGGCTCAAGCGGTAGCGCGCTCACCTGGCATGCGTGCGGCCCGGGTTTGATCCTCAGCACCACATACAAAGATGTTGTGTCCGCCGATAACTAAAAAATAAATATTAAAAAAAAAAAAAAGAAGAAGGAAAATTTTTTTTCTAGTCTTTGTATAATATATTATTGTAATCTGTCTTCAACTATTTTATCCAAAATAAACCTTCAGAAGAAAATAGTTTTGATTTACTTTGCTATTTGTTACAAGTCACTGTAGATTTGGTCAAAGGGAAAAAGGTATGACCTTTTCTGTTTTTAAAGCAAAAATACATTTTGAGGAGTAAAGTGCTTAAGGTTATATAGCAATCCAGTGTGACATGTTCAAGAAAATAACAAAAATGCCACCATACCATCACCAAGCTACCTCTTTGGACCCTATTTTCACTTAATATTAAATGGGGAAAATAGAGAGGTATGTGTAAGCTCAAAACCCTCTAAACTGTAAAATGTAACAAGCATGCTGGAATATTAAAGGGAAAAATACGTTTTGGCTACAAAACACTATTATCATTACCACTGACTTTGTATGTGGTTAAGGAACAGATGCTGCCGGGCTCAGCAAGTCATGCCTCCTAGTACCCTTTCAAGTACCCCTGTGTATCTTCTATGTTTTTTTTGTAATATAATTCAGATTTTTCTGCATATTTATGTTTATATTGTATTATATGTTGGAAGCATAATGATAACTGCTAGGAAAGGTTATATTAAGAAATAATCAGATTCAAGTGACATCTATGTTCTGATTGCCAGTAGCTGCTTCTGATGATGAATGGATGAGTTGCCATTATTGTAAACCCCCATTAGCTAAACTATAAGGAAATTAAAGGGCCACTGCTTTCTTTACTTGTTTTTTCCCCATTTGGGACCAGACATCTAAGGATTAGTACTTTCAGAAGCTAAGGATAAGGAATTTCAAAAGCAACTGCGTGGGACTACCCGCCCCACGCCATCCACCGCAGCCTGGAGTTCCAGGAGAGCCACCACCCCTGGGGTTCCTTATTCACCAAAGCATGGCTCTACAGCCCAATATTAGGGTATATATAGGCTTGAGGCTGCCATGGCCACCAAACTGGGATAATGACACTTATATCTAGGGACAATAATAATGACCTGGTACGATGTCATCAAGGTCCCTGTGGACCTGGCTGCACCAAAAGGTTTCTGTACTAAGGTTGCTAACAGTTATCCTCTTACTGAGGTAACAGAGAGTCTTACATGGGTTGCCTATCTCTTGTTTTTCCTATTAACAGCCACCTTCTTAGGATTACCCTCTCACTAGTCATATAATCTAATACCTCCATATTCTCACATTCTACCTTAAAAGCATCTCAGGCAACCCCCCACCATCAGAAGCTGTGAACCTTTATGCAAACCTATTGACTATATGATAGAAGATATCCGAACTCATCATTTCTGATTATACTGACAAAACTAAATGTAAAAATAGAAACTAACTGATATACGGCTGCACATTGGGTACATTCAGTGCGGTAATATTGATGTTACTGACAAAACTAAATGTAAAAATAGAAACTAACTGATATATGGCTGCACATTTGGTACATTCAGTGCTGTAATATTGATGTCTCCCTTACTGACAAAACTAAATGTAAAAATAGAAACTAACTGATATATGGCTGCACATTTGGTACATTCAGTGCTGTAATATTGATGTCTCCCTTACTGACAAAACTAAATGTAAAAATAGAAACTAACTGATATATGGCTGCACATTGGGTACATTCAGTGCTGTAATATTGATGTCTCCCTTACTGACAAAACTAAATGTAAAAATAGAAACTAACTGATATATGGCTGCACATTTGGTACATTCAGTGCTGTAATATTGATGTCTCCCTTACTGACAAAACTAAATGTAAAAATAGAAACTAACTGATACATGGCTGCACATTGGGTACATTGAGTGCTGTAATATTGATGTCTCCCTTAAAAGTGGGTTATTGGTAACCTGTAGGGACACTGTAAGACAATAGGGCAGAAGCTGTAATACCTCAGATCTACACTGTTAAGAGAGGAAGACACACATGGACATCATGAGAAAACAAGGGAGGAAAGTGCCCCAAATGAAGCAAGATTCTACAACAAGAGAATCCATAGATAGCAAAGTAGGTGAAATGTCAGAGAAGGAGTTCAGAATAAACAAAATGATTGGGGAATTAAAGAACAATCTGAGCAGATACAGGCACTTCAACAAAGAGATAAGAGAACAAATTCAGGTGACCATCAATCACACAGAGGTAAGAGCAAATATAAGTTGCAAGAGATTGCTTCAAGAAAGAGATTCTGGGGAAAAAAACCCAGAAACCCTCAAAACAAAGAAATAATAAGCCAATTAAAAAACTCAATAGAGGCTGGGGTTTATGGCTCAGCAGTAGAGTGCTCATCTAGCACTTGTGAGGTGCTGGGTTCAATCCTCAACAAAATGATAGCATCACCAACAGACTAGGTCACTTAGAAGACGGGACCTCAGACAAGACAAAATATACAATCTTGAAAATAAAGTTGACCTCACAGTGAAGATGGTAAGAAACCATGAACAGAACATCCAAGAATTATGGGATACCATCAAAAGACCAAATTTAAGATTTATTGGGATAGAGGAAGATTCAGAAATTTAAACCAAGGGAATGCATAATCTCTTCAATGAAATAATATCAGAAAATTTTCCAAGCATGAAGAATGAATTGGAAAATTAAATACAAGAGGCCTATGATTATAACAGATTTACACCAAGACATATTATAATGAAAATGCCTAGCATACAGAATAAGGATAGAATTTTAAAGGCTGTAAGAGATAAAAATCAGATTATGTAAAAGGGAAGACTAATTTAGATCTCAGCAGATTTTTCAACCCAGGCTCTCAAAGCCAGGAGATCCTGGAACAACATATACCAAACTCTTAAAGAAAATGGATGCCAACCAAGAATGTTATATCCAGCAAAATTAAGCTTCAAATTTGATGATGAAATAAATACCTTCCATGATAAACAAAAGCTAAAAGAATTTATAGCAAGAAATCCTGCACTACAGAACATTTTTGACAAACTATTCCACAAGGAGGAAATGAAAAACAACAATGAAATTCTGCAAAGGGAAGAACTACAATAAAGGAAAAGCCAGCCAACCAAAGGAGAAACCAAGTCAAGCTAAATACCAAAAATAAAAATGACCAGTAATACAAATCATGTCTCAGTAATAACCCTAAATGTTAGTGGCCTAAACTTACCAACCAAAAGACATAGGCTGATTGGATTTTTTAAAAAGACCCAACAATATGCTGCCTTTAAGAGATTCATAGGAAAAGATGCCCACAGACTGAAGGTGAAAGGTTGGATTTTATTTATCTATTTATTTGTTTATTTATAACATTCACATGGTCTACATAAGCAAGCAGGGGTTTCCATTTTCATATCAAATAAAGTAAACTTCAAGCCAAAGTGAATCAAAAGGGATAAAGACAGTTCATACTGCTTAAGGGAACCATACATCAAAAAGACAGAACAGTTATAAATGTATATGCCCCAAACAATGGAGCATCTATGTTCATCAGTCAAACTCTTCTCAAGTTCAAGAGTCAGATAGACCACAATAATTCTGGGTGACTTTAACAGACCTCTTTCACCACTAGATAGATCTTCCAAACAAAAGCTAAACAAAGAAACTATAGAACTCAATAATACAATCAATAACTTAGACTTAACTGACATATATAGAGTATATTATCCATCAATGAGCAAATACACTTTCTTAGCAGCACATGGATCCTTCTCTAAAATAGACCATATATTATGCCACAAAGCAAATCTTAGTAAATACAAAAAAGTTGAGATATTACCCTACATTCTATCAGGCCACAATGGAATGAAATAAGAAATCAATGATAAAATAAGAAATAAAATCCACTCCAACACCTGGAGACTAAATAATATGCTATTGGATGAACATTGGGTTGCAAAAGACATCAAGGAGGAAATTAAAAGATTTTTAGAGGGCTGGAGATGTGGCTCAAGTGGTAGCGTGAGGCACTGGGTTTGATCCTCAGCACCACATAAAAAATAAGTGAAATAAAGGCATGCTGTCCATCTACAACTAATAAATAAATAAATATTAAAAAAATTCTTCGAGGTAAATGAGAACACTGATATAACATCGAAATCTCTGGGACTCTATGAAGGCAGTTCTAAGAGGAAAGTTCATTGCATGCAGTTCATTCCTTCAAATAAGGAAAAATCAACAAATAAATGATCTAATATTACATCTCAAAGCCCTAGAAAAAGAAGAACAAATCAACCCCAAAAGCAGTAGGGGACAGGGAATAATTAAAATCAGAGCTGAAATCAATGAAATTGAAACAAAAGAAGCAATTGAAAAAATTGATAAAAAAGTTGGTTCTTTGAAAACATAAATAAAATTGATAAACCATTAGCCATGCTAACAAAGGGAAGGAGAGAGAAAACTCAGATTACTAATTTCCTTGAAGAAAAAAAAATATTACGACGGATACTACAGAAATACAGAAGATAATTAGAAATTATTTTGAAAATTTGTACTCCAATAAAATAGAAAATATTGAAGGCATTGACAAATTTCTAGAGGCATATGATATGCCCAAATCAGGATGATATACACGATTTAAACAGATCAATATCAAGCAAGAAAATAGAGGATGCTGTCGCGACCCCTTGCCCGCAAGGAAGACGCAACTCGAGAATCTTCTCTCAACAGTTTTATTCAGGTCCCTGGATATTTCTTCTTCTTCCCCTCGGGTGCCCCTCCCAGCCTTAATAAAGCATCCCAAGCCCCAATGCAAAGCTGCCGCGTGGAACTTTCTCACAGGGTGGTGAAAAATCATGTGCCAACTTTCCCAGATAAGAAATTGTTTGTCACAGACCACAGCGGAGCCAGCGCCATCTTGTAATGGCGACCATAATCTGCAGAAACGGCAGAAGCGGCTCACCACAGTTCCCCCTTTTCTATTTTATTAAAACAATACAGGCGAGAGTAGAGGTCCTATCCCACTGTGCAGAAGTGGCTGCATAGTATGGCTCAGTCCCAAGGAGGGCCCTTCCCCAGATCTGAGGCCATATCAGCCGACGCCTTTTTTCGTGGGGCGGGGCGTGAACGCGTCTAACCCGCATGCAATAGGACATGCTCTCCTTGAGGTCCTCTTCAAGGATCACTCAAGTGCAGTGCCTTGCCTCGCATCCTGTATCGTGACGATGGTGGACGAAGGCGGATAGCTGAGGCTAAACTGTGGCTGTTTATAATGACAAACAAGTTGACAGCACCCTGAAAGAAAGGCACGAACTTCAAGGCGATAGAAAAGTACTAGTGTGGAAACCCATCTGCGTGCAATGGCAGTAAGACCGGCAGAGTGCAAGGGCTTTCCAACACTAAGAGAATAACAAGGAAAGTCATGTCGATCCCAGTGCAATGTTATAATAACTTGGGGTGTAACGACCATGACAAAGGTTTACTGCTTAAGATGCGCAAGCCAGACTTGAGGCGAGTTGCCATTTTCTAAAGTTGCAAGAGCTTGTATGATCATAGCCTTTTCTTGTGCATGGCGAGTTTTAAGGCGACAGAGAAGCCACAAACAAAGTACAACACTGAAGCAAC